CTTTATAAATTCCTATGCTTTAATCAATTGACTGTACTAAAGCTTTATCCTAACTTCAATGTTGTCCAAATGGATTGGGTCAGGTGAGATCGTCACATAAAATGGTCTTATATGATTCTTCAAAGTTAAAAAAGGAATTGGTTTCTTTTTTAAAACGCTCTTTTAAAAAGTAAGAGCAGGTTCTTTTTCTTGTGTTTATACCCGATACTAGAACTTTACCGTGATTTATTGAGCGGGGTGGGGTGGGCGCTGTCGCCATGGGGAGGCAAATCTTCACACTTTGTGCGGGGCGAAATGTACACACTTTGGATTTGTTTGTGTGGCCCAGTTCTTGCTTTCTTCAAGACATAAATGTCAGTCAAAGATTAGCAGATCATCTTCTTTATTATCGCCCAAATTGGTCTAAGAAGATCATTTGTCTACTAACATGGACCGATATTGCGTCATATGTATCTAAATTTTGCAAATTGATATTCTACCATGCAACAATAACATATATGCTTTATAAATTCCTATGCTTTAATCAATTGACTGTACTAAAGCTTTATCCTAACTTCAATGTTGTCCAAATGGATCGGGTCGGGTGAGATCGTCACATAAAATGGTCTTATATGATTCTTGAAAGTTAAAAAGGGAATTGGTTTCTTTTTAAAACGGCTCTTTTAAAAAGTAAGAGCAGGTTCTTTCCCTTGTGTTTATACCCGATACTAGAACTTTACCGTGATTTATGGAGCGGGGTGGGGTGGGCCCTGTCGCCATGGGGAGGCAAATCTTCACACTTTGGATTTGTTTGTGTGGCCCAGTTCTTGCTTTCTTCAAGACATAAATGTCAGTCAAAGATTAGCAGATCATCTTCTTTATTATCGCCCAAATTGGTCTACGAAGATCATTTGTCTACTAACATGGACCGATATTGCGTCATTTGTATCTAAATTTGCAAATTGATATTCTACCATGTAACAATAACATATATGCTTTATAAATTCCTGTGCTTTAATCAATTGACTGTACTAAAGTTTTATCCTAACTTCAATGTTGTCCAAATGGATCGGGTCGGGTGAGATCGTCACATAAAATGGTCTTATATGATTCTTGAAAGTTAAAAAGGGAATTGGTTTCTTTTTAAAAAGGCTCTTTTAAAAAGTAAGAGCGGGTTCTTTTTCTTGTGCTTATACCCGATACTAGAACTTTACCGTGATTTATGGAGCGGGGTGGGGTGGGCGCTGTCGCCATGGGGAGGCAAATCTTCACACTTTGTGCGGGGCGAAATGTACACACTTTGGATTTGTTTGTGTGGCCCAGTTCTTGCTTTCTTCAAGACATAAATGTCAGTCAAAGATTAGCAGATCATCTTCTTTATTATCGCCCAAATTGGTCTACGAAGATCATTTGTCTACTAACATGGACCGATATTGCGTCATTTGTATCTAAATTTGCAAATTGATATTCTACCATGCAACAATAACATATATGCTTTATAAATTCCTATGCTTTAATCAATTGACTGTACTAAAGCTTTTTCCTAACTTCAATGTTGTCCAAATGGATTGGGTCAGGTGAGATCGTCACATAAAATGGTCTTATATGATTCTTCAAAGTTAAAAAAGGAATTGGTTTCTTTTTTAAAACGCTCTTTTAAAAAGTAAGAGCAGGTTCTTTTTCTTGTGTTTATACCCGATACTAGAACTTTACCGTGATTTATGGAGCGGGGTGGGGTGGGCGCTGTCGCCATGGGGAGGCAAATCTTGACACTTTGTGCGGGGCGAAATGTACACACTTTGGATTTGTTTGTGTGGCCCAGTTCTTGCTTTCTTCAAGACATAAATGTCAGTCAAAGATTAGCAGATCATCTTCTTTATTATCGCCCAAATTGGTCTAAGAAGATCATTTGTCTACTAACATGGACCGATATTGCATCATATGTATCTAAATTTTGCAAATTGATATTCTACCATGCAACAATAACGTATATGCTTTATAAATTCCTATGCTTTAATCAATTGACTGTACTAAAGCTTTATCCTAACTTCAATGTTGTCCAAATGGATCGGGTCGGGTGAGATCGTCACATAAAATGGTCTTGTATGATTCTTCAAAGTTAAAAAGGGAATTGGTTTCTTTTTAAAAAGGCTCTTTTAAAAAGTAAGAGCGGGTTCTTTTTCTTGTGCTTATACCCGATACTAGAACTTTACCGTGATTTATGGAGCGGGGTGGGGTGGGCGCTGTCGCCATGGGGAGGCAAATCTTCACACTTTGTGCGGGGCGAGATGTACACACTTTGGATTTGTTTGTGTGGCCCAGTTCTTGCTTTCTTCAAGACATAAATGTCAGTCAAAGATTAGCAGATCATCTTCTTTATTATCGCCCAAATTGGTCTAAGAAGATCATTTGTCTACTAACATGGACCGATATTGCGTCATATGTATCTAAATTTTGCAAATTGATATTCTACCATGCAACAATAACATATATGCTTTATAAATTCCTATGCTTTAATCAATTGACTGTACTAAAGCTTTATCCTAACTTCAATGTTGTCCAAATGGATCGGGTCGGGTGAGATCGTCACATAAAATGGTCTTGTATGATTCTTCAAAGTTAAAAAGGGAATTGGTTTCTTTTTAAAAATGCTCTTTTAAAAAGTAAGAGCGGGTTCTTTTTCTTGTGCTTATACCCGATACTAGAACTTTACCGTGATTTATGGAGCGGGGTGGGGTGGGGGCTGTCGCCATGGGGAGGCAAATCTTCACACTTTGTGCGGGGCGAAATGTACACACTTTGGATTTGTTTGTGTGGCCCAGTTCTTGCTTTCTTCAAGACATAAATGTCAGTCAAAGATTAGCGGATCATCTTCTTTATTATCGCCCAATTTGGTCTACGAAGATCATTTGTTTACTAACATGGACCGATATTGCGTCATATGTATCTAAATTTGCAAATTGATATTCTACCATGCAACAATAATATATATGCTTTATAAATTCCTATGCTTTAATCAATTGACTGTACTAAAGCTTTATCCTAACTTCAATGTTGTCCAAATGGATCGGGTCGGGTGAGATCGTCACATAAAATGGTCTTATATGATTCTTGAAAGTTAAAAAGGGAATTGGTTTCTTTTTAAAAAGGCTCTTTTAAAAAGTAAGAGCGGGTTCTTTTTCTTGTGTTTATACCCGATACTAGAACTTTACCGTGATTTATGGATCGGGGTGGGGTGGGCGCTGTCGCCATGGGGAGGCAAATCTTCACACTTTGTGCGGGGCGAAATGTACACACTTTCGATTTGTTTGTGTGGCCCAGTTCTTGCTTTCTTCAAGACATAAATGTCAGTCAAAGATTAGCAGATCATCTTCTTTATTATCGCCCAAATTGGTCTACGAAGATCATTTGTCTACTAACATGGACCGATATTGCGTCATTTGTATCTAAATTTGCAAATTGATATTCTACCATGCAACAATAACATATATGCTTTATAAATTCCTATGCTTTAATCAATTGACTGTACTAAAGCTTTATCCTAACTTCAATGTTGTCCAAATGGATCGGGTCGGGTGAGATCGTCACATAAAATGGTCTTATATGATTCTTGAAAGTTAAAAAGGGAATTGGTTTCTTTTTAAAAAGGCTCTTGTAAAAAGTAATAGCGGATTCTTTTTCTTGTGCTTATACCCGATACTAGAACTTTACCGTGATTTATGGAGCGGGGTGGGGTGGGTGCTGTCGCCATGGGGAGGCAAATCTTCACACTTTGTGCGGGGCGAAATGTACACACTTTGGATTTGTTTGTGTGGCCCAGTTCTTGCTTTCTTCAAGACATAAATGTCAGTCAAAGATTAGCAGATCATCTTCTTTATTATCGCCCAAATTGGTCTACGAAGATCATTTGTCTACTAACATGGACCGATATTGCGTCATTTGTATCTAAATTTGCAAATTGATATTCTACCATGCAACAATAATATATATGCTTTATAAATTCCTATGCTTTAATCAATTGACTGTACTAAAGCTTCATCCTAACTTCAATGTTGTCCAAATGGATCGGGTCGGGTGAGATCGTCACATAAAATGGTCTTATATGATTCTTGAAAGTTAAAAAGGGAATTGGTTTCTTTTTAAAAAGGCTCTTTTAAAAAGTAAGAGCGGGTTCTTTTTCTTGTGTTTATACCCGATACTAGAACTTTACCGTGATTTATGGAGCGGGGTGGGGTGGGCGCTGTCGCCATGGGGAGGCAAATCTTCACACTTTGTGCGGGGCGAAATGTACACACTTTGGATTTGTTTGTGTGGCCCAGTTCTTGCTTTCTTCAAGACATAAATGTCAGTCAAAGATTAGCAGATCATCTTCTTTATTATCGCCCAAATTGGTCTACGAAGATCATTTGTCTACTAACATGGACCGATATTGCGTCATTTGTATCTAAATTTGCAAATTGATATTCTACCATGCAACAATAACATATATGCTTTATAAATTCCTATGCTTTAATCAATTGACTGTACTAAAGTTTTGTCCTAACTTCAATGTTGTCCAAATGGATCGGGTCGGGTGAGTTCATCACATAAAATGGTCTTATATGATTCTTGAAAGTTAAAAAGGGAATTGGTTTCTTTTTAAAAAGGCTCTTTTAAAAAGTAAGAGCGGGTTCTTTTTCTTGTGTTTATACCCGATACTAGAACTTTACCGTGATTTATGGAGCGGGATGGCTCGTTAACTTGGCATACACGGCTCAGAATTGACTTACAAAGACCTCTTAAATATATATATGTATATATTCCGTCGTAGCATGTACATGCAAATTACCACAAAACCTATTCATGCTCTTGAAAATTCCTTTTCTTCAACTTTCTTACATTCTTTAGGTATCGATTAAGATTTCGCCTCAAGTACTATGCCTCTCAACTTGTCTTTCCTTGAGTTCTCATCGTCACGTCGTCTCTTTTTCACATATGTAGTGCTTTTGTTGTGCATTTGCTTGGTCTCTTCAGCTAATAACATGACAGACAAGCTTGCGTTGCTTGCATTCAAGGCCGCGGTAACTGAGGACCCTTTCGGTGTGCTGAATTCATGGAACCATACGACCGATCACTGTCAGTGGCACGGTGTCATGTGCGGTCGCCTACACCACAGAGTCACAGGACTCAACCTAAAAGCCCTCAAGCTTTCGGGATCCATCTCCCCTCACATTGGAAACTTGAGCTTCTTGAGAGTCCTGATAATCCACAACAATAGTTTCCATCACGAAATCCCGCAACAAGTCGCCCATTTGCACCGTTTACGTGACTTGGGATTATCCTCCAACACATTGGAAGGCCAAATCCCGAGAAACTTGTCACGTTGCGCTCGCCTTAGATGGCTCATCCTAGAAGGCAACCGGCTGGTCGGAGAAATTCCCGTTGAGCTCGGTTCTTTGCTGGAGCTTCAGTCTCTCGCTTTATCTGACAACTATATAACGGGTACTGTTCCTTCATCCATCGGAAACATGTCATCATTAGAGATTCTCAGTCTGGGTAATAATGAGTTAGGTGGGAAGATACCCCAAGCTCTAGGAAAATTAACCAAACTCAAAGTGCTTCTATTATCACTAAATAGGTTGTCTGGCACAATTCCTCCATCTGTCTTCAATCTTTCTTCCATGGAGCTGCTCGACATCGGTGTCAACCAAATAGGAGGGAATATTCCCGCCAATATAGGCTTCACTCTTCCGAACATCAAGGATTTCACCATCACCGGTAACCGATTCACTGGAGCGATTCCTCGATCAATGTCTAATGCAACCGCTTTGTTGTGGCTACAAGTCAATAACAACCAACTGTAAGGGAACATGCCTCCTTTGGACCGCTTAAACAAGCTCCGAATATTGCGCATCAATTCTAATTATCTGGGAAGCGGAGGATACGGTGATTTGAACTTCTTTTGCTCGTTGACTAACACCACCAGTCTACAATTGTTGTCCATATATGGAAACAGCTTTGGCGGGACATTGCCTGAGTGCATCGGTAATTTCTCCGTTAATCTTATGCAATTGAAGCTGGGCCAGAATCTGCTGCTTGGCACGATTCCTCGAATAGTCGAAAATCTCATCAACTTGGAAAGGTTGCTTTTGGATCACAACAGGCTTTCAGGTACAGTCCCCTCGGTTTTGGGAAATCTTCATAACTTAGTGGAACTAGATTTATCGTATAACAAGTTTTCCGGGGCAATTCCTTCTTCATTAGGAAACCTAGTAAAGCTAGCACGACTCCATCTCGATCACAATAAATTTCACTGCTACATTCCTTCACGTCTATCGGAGTGCCGAAGTTTGGTGGAGCTTGATCTTTCTAGCAACAACTTAAATGGAACTATACCTTCAGAGTTCATAGGTCTCTCATCACTGTCTATACTTCTAAACTTGTCTCTGAACCATCTCGCTGGTGTCCTACCAAAGGAAGTCGGGAAATTGAATCTTTTGGCTCAATTAGATGTCTCTAGAAACATGTTAGATGGCGACATTCCGGCCAGTCTTGGCAGTTGTGTTGGATTGGAAGTGCTCAAAATGCAAGAGAACTCTTTCCGAGGCTCCATTCCTTCATCTATTAGTATGTTGAGGAATGTCAAGGAGCTAGATCTTTCACACAACAATTTATCCGGTCAAATTCCGGAGTTTTTTTAGGCACTTGACTATTTGGAGATCCTGAATTTGTCGTATAATAACTTTGATGGCATGTTATTATGTGACATCCAGAATTTCGGCCCATTTTTGGGATTTATAAAACGCGTAATTTGTCAGTGTGCTTATAGTAAAATCTCGCCCGGGAACTGATCACTCCCGGTTATCATTTTAAATTAGAGATTTCGCTAGAATCGCACTCGATCAAATTTGGCCGTTATTTGGATCCCGAACTTGGCAGTCGATTTCCGGGAGTTTCGGGACAAAATAAATTGGACGGTGTCAATATTATGGTAGCCAACGTTGAGATTGTCAGGAATGATGGAAAAATGGGAGTTTTTGACCACGTGCGAATTTGGACTAGTAGACCTCCCTCGTTATGATTTGGTCTAATTAATTTGGCCTTTGTCCCTTTTTATGTGCGAGGCTTATTTTGGACCCGTAGACCACTTTCGGTTTTTAATTTGGGCCATCGGATCGCGATTAATATTTGAATGAAGTTTATTTTCTTTTATTCTCTCTCTCTCTCTCTCTCCTCTGCCGCGCATGTCCTCTCCGCGCACGTCTCCCCCTGCCCACGTCCCCTCAGCTCACCCACTCCCACCTGCTCTCTCTCTCTCTCTTCGTTTCTTTTCCTTCTTTCTTTTTCTTTTCTTCTTTCTTTCTCTTCTTCTTCTTCCTTCTTCCTTCCCCGAACTCGCCTGGTTCTGCTTCGTTCCTGCTCTGCTCACCGGCTGCTGCTCGACCGCCCATCCAGCTCCGCCCGACGCCACCCTACCAGTCGCCGACGCCGCCGTCCTCCTCCTCGCACCGGCGTCGCGCCGCCGCGCCGCGCGGCAGCTCCGCTCGACGCTGCTTCCTCCCCTCCCGAGCGCACGAGCTCGGCTCGTCGCCGCTCCACCAGTCGCCGCCGCCAGCAAGCTCGGCCGCCGTCGCGCCTCCGCCGGCCGCCGCCCGATCCGTCGCTTTCTCCTCTCGCGCGCGCAGCCGCAGGCTCGCCGCTGCTGCCTTTCGCGCCCGACGCGCCTGTTCGCCGGCTCGCCGGCCGGCCCAGCGCCGCCGTCGCCGCCTCCGGTCTTGCCGGTCGCCGCCGTGTTCCACCACAAACAACCGGCAAGCCCTTCCCTCCCCTTTCTCTCTCTCTCTCTCTCGGTTTGGCCGTGACAGGCCTTGAGCCGGAGGAGCTCCGCCGCCGCCGTCACTGTTCCGGCGCGGATCCGTCGCCTCGCCCGGCCGTCCAGCCGTTCCATTTCCCTCTCTATCTCTGACCGTGCCCCTCTCTCTCCCTCTCTAGGCCGTGGATTAGCTTAGACCGTCGCCGTCGCTCGCGCCGTTCGCCGGAGCCGCCGTCGCTCGCGCCGTTCGCCGGAGCCGCCGCCGCCGTTACTGTTCCGGCGAAGGACCGCCGCTGTCCAGCCGCCATTACCACGTGTTCAGCTCGGTTTGAAGCTTAGGACATCCGGTGAGTTTGACCCTAAGCCCTAATTAGGACAATTTGCATTTCTAGATGGGTTTTAAGGGTTAATTAGGGTATTTTAGGGGTTAAATTGTGGAGGTTGTTAGAGGCTGATATGGTGGCTGATTTCGAGGCTTAGTGTGATGATTTAATTGAGATTTAGAGGCCCGTATTGTGCTGTGAGTAGGCTGGGCATAGGTGCCTTAATTTGGGCGAAAATGTGAATTTGGCGGGTGCAAATTGAGGACCGAGTGGAGGCCGCTATGGGCTGATTTTTGTGGCCCGTTTGGTGACCGAGAATGATGATTTAATTGAGGTTTAGTGGACTATAGTGTGCTGTGATGTGGCGAGGCATAGGTGCCGTGATTTGGACGGAATTGTGGATTTAGCGGGTGAAATTGGGAGACCGAATGGTGGCTGTCTTGGTGGCTATTTTACGGGCTTAGTGCGACAATTTAGTTGAGATTTAGTGACCCGCGAGGTGCCGTGAGATGGCTGGACAGATTGGTTCGGAGTGGTCCAAGTTTGGAGTAAGTTCGGGCTTTAAATATGGATTTTAGTGCGCGCCTCATTTGATCTTTGTGGTGGCTGATTAGAATGATGGTTTGGGGAGTTTAATGGGGCATTTTGAAGATATTTATTGGCCTAGACATTGCGGTATAGTGGCTGGCCACGACAGGATTTGATTTAGGCGAGGCGTGATCAATTTGAAGTTTAATTGTGCAATTACCGGGAATGATCGCATTGATCAATTGACTAGCTAAATGAGCCTTGTTGTGATTGATTTTAGGATGCCATGTTGCTTGTTTAGCGGGACTAAGAATGGAATAGCTTGGCGGGCCTCGAATGCGAGGGTTCTTGTTATCCCGGTTGTGTGGATTGTGCATGGATTGTGTGTCAAGTTGATGCCATGGCTGATTTGAATTGATTGTCTGATTGGGCATGTTGATTTATGAAATTGAATATGCGTGGTGCAAATGCGCATGATTGCATCATGATTTGAGTAAGTGGTGCGGTGCAAGTGAATGCCCGAGTGTGAAGTTTATGGCCATGAGTTTACATCACGAGCATTGGCACGGCATGTGCATTTACAAGTGTGCTCGAGTGACATGTGCATTGTGATCACCTAAAATGCCCTGATGCGTTTAACGCGGGGTTCAGATGAAAATTGGTGCTTGTGAATGTGTGATCACAATAAACCCTGATGCGTTTTACGCGGGGTAGTGAATCCGTCCTGAGGCGTTTAACGCGGGACGATGCCCGGATTGCCGAAAGACGGCCAACCTGATGCGTTTACGCAGGTTCGGTCCGTATATGGAGATCAGTGTTGCGCCTGATGCGTTTACGCGGGCTAGAGACACTGGGCCTGATGCGTTTACGCGGGCCAGGAAGTGTTGGATAGTGATAGACCTGATGCGTTTTACGCGGGTCGGACCTGATGCGTTTAACGCGGGTCGGAGGAGAAATTGATAAATGGCAAGTATGCTAGAGTGCAAGCGTGCGAAAATGCATTGATGAGGCGTGAGCACGCGTATGAGCACGAGCATAAGCATGACATGCGTTGTGACCAAATGATGTGTACATGTGCTGCGACTGGGTCCTATGTTTTATGCTTGAACTGTAAGTGCCTAACCTGCAAGGCAAGGTGAGTGTTGAATTTGGGCCCGAGGGCCTAAGTCAATTATGATTTGCTTGGTGTGTTGATTTAGTACTCGTCAGGAGGTGCACTTTAGCCTAATTTAGGTTTAGGGAATTACTCGCTGAGATTTATTCTCACTGTTGTTGAAACCCAATTTTTCAGACCCCCAGCCTTGAGGATGCCAGGCGTATTGAAATGTTTTGGGAGGAGCCCCGGCTAGATATAGTGTTTGATCGCCGAGCCACGTACCCGCTTTTGACTTTTGAGGGTGGGCTGTATATGAATATTGTATATGTTTCCCAATGTCAAAACAAGTGTATATTTATCCGTGCTGGTTGTTGTATGGCTATCCTTGATTAGGTGTATTTTAATGTACGGGTGGTTTTAATTACTTCCGCATGTGCTTTAAATCTCTGTGTTGGGTGTTGGGTCGGCGACGCGTCCTGGGACGTCGCACACGAATCGACCTTTGCGAGGGATGTGGCGCGCCGAGGAGTGCGGGGCGTGACATATTAACTAGAGGAATCTTTAATAATGTCAGCGCTACTTTTGTCTTTGGAAATGACAAGCTTTGCGGAGGAATGCCCGAATTTCATCTCCCGAAATGTAGCTCTAGAAACTCAGGCCAAAGACTAATCCCTAAGTGGAAGCTCGCCATCTCGATTTTCTTCGGGGCTCTTGGAATAGCTCTTCTTGTTCTTGCTGTTATGTACTTTGGTTGGTTGAAGATGAAGAAAAGAACAGAACCGGCTTCAAGTTCCAAAGATGATTCATCATTGAATCTATCTTATGGAATTCTCCTTAAGGCAACCAACGGGTTTTCTTCAAGTAACTTGATCGGGGTCGGCGGTTTAGGATCTGTTTACAAGGGATTCCTTGATGAGAATGGAACTACCATTGCTGCCAAGGTACTTAATTTGACGCTTCATGGTGCTGTGAAGAGCTTCATAACCGAGTGCAAGGCTTTAAGGAACATCCGACACCGTAATCTTTTGAAAGTCCTAACAGTATGCTCGGGCACTGATTACAGGGGCAATGAGTTTAAGGCCTTGATTTATGAGTTCATGGTCAATGGTAGCCTAGAAGATTGGCTACATCCAAGTCCATCATCAGCTAATGTAGATGGGAATGCGCATAAATTGAGTCTCATCCAGAGGATAAATATTTCCATCGATGTTGCTTCAGCATTAGATTATCTCCATGACCACCTTCAAAGCCCTGTTATCCATTGTGATCTGAAGCCGAGTAACGTCCTGCTAGATGCTGAAATGGTTGGACATGTCGGAGACTTTGGTTTGGCGAAGATCGTGATTGATTCCACCGATGACACTAAAGCGAAAATGAGCTCTGCTGGTGTTAGAGGAACTGTCGGCTATGCTGCTCCAGGTGAGTCTCCTCTCCTCTGTCCCCTAAAGGAAAACGAACAAATTATATTCTAATAATGCCCAAGTGTTTTCGTGCTATTTCCTTTTCCCTCAGCCGCTTGTGCTGCAATTATTTATCTTTTATTTGCAATTGGAATGAAGCGCAGAATACGGAATGGAAAGCGAGGTTTCAAGAGAAGGCGATGTTTATAGTTATGGCATTCTTTTGCTTGAGATGTTCACGGGCGTGAGTCCAACAAACGAAAGGTTTCGAGAAAATTTTAACCTTCATAAGTTCGTTAAGGAAGCCTTGCCTGAACAACCCCTAGAGATTACCGATCCTTTTCTACTTCAAGAAATGGAGAGCCGTATGGGCACCGCCTGAGGCGATGCAGCTCGCGATTGTCTGGAGATGGTCTATAGAATCGGGGTCGCCTGCTCTGTCGAAGCACGCAGAGAGCGGACGAACATCGCGGAAGTCGCAGCTCAGCTGCATTTTATCAGGAATAAACTTCATGCAGCTGGTTTACAAGGATAGGTAACATATGAGATCAATGGCTTTTCTGCTTTTTATTTTCCAGATCATTGCCATATATGCACCGATAAGCACGCATTCATGTGCCTGCTTGTGTGAATAAACTCAAAAATGCACACATGATTCATCAATTTTTTGGTTTTGTGTGAATCAAAAAGGCATGAATTGCCAACTGAATCACATGAATGCACATCACAGAAATTGAGAATTCATCCCATGGAATCATTGTTACAACTCTAAGCAGCATGAGGAAATTCTCGTGATCAAAGCAGTTGACAGGCTAATCATAAACCTCCATCTCTTAAATATGTTCGGCATATGCATTTGCAGTTGCACCAAATTTGATGGATTGAGGACATTTATGTAGCTTTATTAAGAGTATGCTTAAAACTATCAGCTTTGCTGAAAAAATGAATCTACATGTCTCTTCCAGGTTATATGAACTCGGGAGTGCTTGGCGTCGGTTTCTGCAATTTCGGTAGGATTTTTTTCTTCTTCCATGCTTAGCGCTAGAAAAAGGGGATGCATGCTATGTTAGTATAGTAGATATAGGGAAGGCAACGGTTCTCCATTCTCGGCCGCGGCTCAAAATGAGAACTCAACCTTGTCTGTGATTCAATAAAACTCGGGTTTCAGCCCAATTGCTGCAAGAACTGCAAGTGGCTATTATAATTTGATGACGGCTCGATGCATTCCTTCTTTTGCAAACCTTTTCATGTACGAGTCATCCATGGGGTAGAGCAGGAAATCGTATTTCTTGCACGTGGGCAGGATTTCGCTACTGCAGCCACCGTGAACAATTTGTCCAAGCAGACCAACTACTTTGTACATGTAATGCAAGTTCCAAACTGTTCCTGTGAACACAGGATTAGAGCGAGCTCTTAAGTGAGCTGTGAAGTGCCTCCATTGAGAATGTTATTAATTAAGTGCATTGTCTTTTTATTAGAAATTTCTCATTAAGAATTTCCTTTTTCTGTCTGAAAACAATTTATTTTCATGCAAAAGATAAAAATTTGAGTGAACTTAATTATCGTTGATCCTATTATAATTTGTTATTCATACGGTTTACACAAAACATGTTCAGACCAAAAAAAAAATTAAATGTTGATAATTGGACATGGAAAAATATCAACTGAATTACCGGCCTTAAGGTAAAAAATGTGAACTCATTTCAGAATATTTCAAGAGCCTACCAAAAACCTTGAATACATTGGCGTTCCAACTTCCAATCTATTAAAGACATACATCAAGATTGACATTCAAGTGCATCCTGAGAGACTAAAAGATAGGAGATTGAACAACAACTAAGGCGACCTGGGACTTTTTATGATGCTGGGGCAGCTTTCTGTTTCTTCGGCATGCGATAGCCACCGACGACACAAGCATGGTCTTGCTCAAAGGCTTGAGAGTAACTTGCTCAAAAGGCTTGAACTGCTCGGCCTGCAGCTTCTTCACTTCCTGGGAAAATACTATCTCGGCAGGAACAGTAGAATCGATACAGTTTGCCTGCAAAAACAAGCACAACCAAAAGGAATTGATACCCATCTCTTCTCGTTGAAGCAACATTTCCAGTGTTTCTTTTTTTCAAGAGGATTGGTTTTCACCTTTCCTCAGATATGATAAGATCATTTCTGATGTCACTGCTCATCTCCTAGGCTTGCAAGAACTTGCGCGAGCTACTTTTCGTACTTTTTAAGGGATTATAAAGTGATAAAGAAATATAAGTGTGACCAAAAGTCATCTAATCCAACAAGCTACATCTCAAAAAAAATAATAAAGGAAAACCAAGTGCGCATCTGTCCATAGAGAGAGAGAGAGAGAGAGAGCTTAATTGAGATGACAAAGTGACCTCCAGCCTTGAGAAAATATGATGCATTTAGAGCCAAAATTCTTGCCTGAGATGTAACCACGTATCATTGAACATCACATATTAACGAGAGACATCTTCTAATAAAGCACTCTAAACACGTAGAAAGGCTATCCAAGTAACAGACAAATGACCTTGCATTTCTCTCCCTCTTGATGTAGCTAGCAAGGATCACCTAGAGAGGGGTTAATAGGTGATCTTAAACAATTTTTTGAATTTAAGCAGAAATGAATGATCACAGTTGAGTCTGAATAAAATTCAGATTCAAAACAGTTTATATAAACTGTGCTCTTGATGTGCAGTATGTAAAGTAAGAGATAAGGGTTAGAAAAATCGCACACAAGTTTATAGTGATTCGGCTTATAGCAAGCCTACGTCCACTCTCCCACGCTGACAGCCTACTGGCTGGATTTCATTATATAATCAAGAGGAATTGCAAATTCTGAGTAACAGCACTCTTGTATATGATAGGACTCTCTATCTCACATAATCACTCTTACAAAGTGTTCCTCAAGATCTTAATGTTTCGTTCAAGAAAGACGAGAAATGATCGGAGTATGCTCAGACTTTGGACTTGTTGATTCTCTATTTCATCCTCCCTTCCACTCCTTGTAAATCCCCTTTTATACTCCTCCACTACCAAACTAGCCGTTGGATAATCTTCAAAGGATCATCTTCCAATCTTCATCTTGGACAGATTTGTATAAATGGATTGAGTAGCTATTGGTTGACAAAATATGAATCCCGCTGATTCTGGTCGCCCTTATAATCATAATCTTGGTTTCCATAAATAGAGTTTTATCCGTTGTAATGCATACTTGTCATAGGGTTTGATTGTCAATCAATTAGATTGAGATTGAGTCAATCAAAACTTTCCTTTTGTGAAATCCATGCCAAATCACTAGCTGTTGTGATTCCTTCTGAATGAGTTTTGCTTCTGCGTCTGCGTCTGCATAACTTCTGCATCTGAAGAATTTCTAATTCAAAACTTGAGTCAGCATAGGTCTTCAGTAAAATCTGAATATTTCATAATTAGAGTCTGAATGACTTTCATGATAAAGTCTGAAGATCTTATGTCTGAGTCTGAACTTTTAGTTCTGAAAACTTGTAAAGTCTGATATTTCCTTCTGAACTTCCAGAATATATTAACCTGGGAAGAAATGTATGTCAGATTCATAAGTTAAACATAGAGAGTTTTGTCAGCTTCAAAATCCATTAGGAGTTTTCCTCAACACCTCTGACGTATATTGAACACACTTCATTACCCAGAGCTTAAGTCTAGTGTAACGAGTGCTTCAACAAGTCATGCGAGTGTTTTTATAGTCAGTATTCAATTGATATGTCAAATGCCTAGAGACTTCCATGAGTATTATCACAGGAACTTTTATCATATGTACATACAAAAAGACCTTTCAGGTGATCAGAGAGACAGATCACGTGCATCCAACACCACTTCATAATAAGTTGTTAAATATGTCTTGAATTTTATACACTTGGTCCGTTTCATGACCTGACCCGACCCGACATATTTTTGTGCAACCAAAAAGTGGAGAAAAAATTGAGATTTAGTTCGTGACGCGAAGGGTTGGGCCTATTGAGCAAGCGAACAAATCTCTATGGCGGACCGCCCAAGCTGGAGCAAGCGAACCAATGTCTCGAAGAGTTCGGGGGCGTAGCCCTCGAGGAAATTTTTTGGGAGCACTATTTATATTGCGGCTAAGTTTTTTCATTGACAGTGAGATTTTTGTTTTGTGAGAGATTTGTGAGTCGTGAGGTTTTGTTAAGTCGTTTTTCGACTTTTGAAAACTGTACTCTCTTTGATTTTAGTGAAATCTTGTTTTGCCTTACTTGTGGACGTAGATCACCTTGTGATCGAACCACAAAAATCCTTGTGTTGTGTAATTGTTTTTCCGCTGTAGTTTTCAACATAAGTCCTGTCATTGCACGCGCTAAATCAAAAATAATGATAAGAGCACGAGAAATCGACAGGACATGAGAAAATAATAGAATCGAGACAGTTGGCCTACAAAAACAAGCACAACCAAAAGAAATTGTTTACCTTTCTCTTCTCAAAAGTAACATTTCAAGTGTTTCTTTTTTCCAAGTATATTGGTTTTTCACCCTGCCTCAACTATGATGGGATCATTCCCGATGTCACAACTCCTTTAGACTTGCAAAAAATTGGACCAGCGACTTGTCTTAATATCTAAGGAATTACAAAATAAAGTGACTAAGATATAGAATTGTGACCAATGATCTGTTATCAACGCATGATTAGGTCGATCCAATGCAATTCAAAATACGAGTTTACCAATTCACTGCGTGTCACAAACCAAAATTATATAATAGAAGTCGGGCTATGTTTTCAAATTTCACGCCAACTAAGTCCTTGATTGGTGGTCACATGCTCTGATATCGTTCGCATGTAACTTCTACAACTCTCTCTCCCAACTCATCGTTTCTCTCTCCCGAATCAGAGCCATGAGCTCCACCCGTGGCCGCCATCACCATCGTCCTCCCTGGTCCCTGCCACCACAATCATACCTTCTCCGGAGCTCACGGACACCACATCTATCGCCCGTCTTAGTCATGAGCCCGTCCTCAAGCCACCATGAGCCTGGCCAAGCCCTCTCTCTCTCTCTCTCTCTCTCTCTCTCTCTCTCTCTCTACTTGACCACATGATCAGCCTCTGCGGCCTCAGATCGATGGGAGGTCGCGGGGGGAGGGAGCAATGGGGGTGGGGGAAGAGAGACAGAGAGAGAGAATAGGTGACTATCACGAGTTAGTCCTCTGGCGCGTCTGTCGCTCAGTTGTCCATCGCAACATTTTACTTATGCCAGAACACAGTAAACACCCCTCTCAATTCCCATGACTGCCGGTACTTAGACGAGGTGACAGCTGACACTACTTGCGAAGAACAACTTCAATGCAAGTACCCATTTTTATTGTAACTTTAGCCTCTGTTGCTATGGTCTTTAATACAGATTTTGGACTTCTCTCAAGTGGCAATGCACTTATTGTCGCAGAAGGAGAAGAATGATCTGAATCAGTTGGTTAGCACAATGGTGTCTTATTCTACTCATGAATATGTAAACTTCAAGGTGAGGCTTGTGAATTATATGTCCTAATTCGGATGCTATGTAATTGTTAATTGTATAGTTCTCAAAGTGTTCTTGTCTGGGCTAAACAGGACTACAAGTCTAGTTATCACATACTTCCAGCAGCATTGAAGCAAGTGTTGGTCCATGAGGTAGTCCTTCAACTTAGTGCTTTGTGTTTTATGTGCCGATTCCTCTCAACCTGATCGGGTCTTGAAATCAAGTTGAGTGGTTCGCTCTGCTTGGACATAATGCTTTAATCAACAAACAACCTTGTAGCTGGCATCATTTTTCTCTTCCCAACTGATTCCAGCCTGAAAGAACAGAAGAATTCATATATCGGCATCTTCTTTGTAACAAGAATCGGCTTTAAAGAGAGAAGATTTTTGAGCATTTTGTAAATTTAACTTCTTTCTGTCTACAAACTTTAAGATTTAAAGTGACTTTGGGTTCATAAAGTACCTATTGTGATTTTTTAATGCCAATTTGTCTGTCTAGCTTTATCATCACAACAATCAGCTAGAGAATTGACATGAAATTGAGGCATACTTGAACTTTTAATTCCTATGATTTCCGGTAGATATGTTGTTATGATAGGACAGCAAGTTTTTCTGTTTCTTGTCAAGGTGCTTTGATTTATGTACCGAGAGGCATGAGCTGCTGCATGTAGTAAGAAGTGTCTCAGATGCTCAACCTCATTGCTCAGGATAATGTTGTCCCAGTGGTAAACTGGAGCAGGAAAACTTGTTAGATTCAATTAGAGAAACTTTTATGAGATTGGCTTTATCATGAGCCAAAGTGTAAATCGTACGGAACAAGTGTTGTTCAAAGTTGAGGGACCTTAAAGCTTAAACTCTCTGTTAGAACATCTGGTTTTATCTTGACCCACACCATCTAACAGCTATAAAGATCTATCCATCCTTCTACTGAAAAGGAAGTTCCATCAATATGTTGATGCCAATTAATTTGACGCACAAATTAATGCCAATACAGTTGAAGCTTATGATCCTGTCATGTCGCTTTGGCAGAGAAACTGGCCATGCTAATTGGTTGGCCTTGCAGACTCTCTCTCTCTCTCTCTCTCTCTCTCTGGGCATGGGTGCCGTAGGCATGCCACATCCTTTTGTGTTTGTCACACTGGTCTCAACGTGCTCGCTCACGCAGTCCAAGCCGCATGTGCATGTGCATGCACTTCATGTAGGGATATGGGCGGATCCACAGGTACCCTTGTCGTTTAGGCTATTGCGAAGCTTTCCCCTTTTCATTGACATAATTTGTTGTCACTCACATCCTTAAATTCAGTGAAACTCAGGTCGAGAAACAAAAGCTTTTGCATGGGAGCACTGAGAAATTTGCATACCAGAGTGAAGCACAGGACATTGAAGGAGAGAAGACTAGGGGAACAAGATACAATTCTTTCAATGTGGCCACTTGTGCTATGAAGGACATTGGAAGTGGAGCTAATATATCTAGCTCTACTCAATTTAATACGAGTGCCTCCACTAATTCTTAATCCCTTGCTCACAACAGAGCTACCAACAATGATGTGAAGCTAAAGCCCACTAATGATTTTAAAAAGCTTTCTGCTAGATCCAGCTTCTTTGACAGGTGCTTTATCTCGATCATTGAGTTTTCTTCTCAACTTTCTAACGTTAACTAAAGTGGTCATTGTTTAAAATTTTGGATTGTAGAATACATGGGGGAAAGAGTACTCACCTTTTCTTTCTGTAACCCACAATATGCCTCACAGCTACAGCTACAGTGTTGTCCTCACCGGGAAAAATATCATCTACCTCTCGAATTCGAAAGTTTGGAAATGCTTAGTCCCTTTCTTGTAAAACATTTATCTTCCTGTCTTCATATATGACCATGTGGTTCCATGAACAATTCCTTTCTGTACTACATAATATAGTAGCTACATTAGTCGTTATTAATCTGATTTCCTAACTTAGTCTGAAGTTAACATCTGCATTAGTTTTAAGCTGGAAGAATCCTTAAAAGCAGCAGCTCCTCTTGTAAATTCAACGCTAGCATTAAATCTAGTTATTCTTCTTCTTGAATGATGCTGCCATAATTGGGTGGCCGTCATTTCCTCTGTTAGCTTACTTCACTCACCACATAGGTTGTCTGAAGAATTTTAACACGGCGTCCTCTTTTTACGTATATTTAAAACGTACAGAAATTGTGATATACCTCCCTTGATGTTAGCTATACCCTTTCAAAGCATAATTTGGTGTTGAAATGCTTGGTATCATTTAGTAGCTTTTGATCGATGCATAAATTTGGTTCTGCATTACATCTCAATGGTTTGGGAAAAGGACACTAAATGTGTCATAATAATTGTACGACGCTCAATTTGGTGTCATAACTTTCTAAACGATCATTTAGTACCATAACTTTTAGAAACACATCGAAGTTACATCGGAAATTTTCCACAAGAAGATCGCTGATGTAACTTGAATGATCTAATTTCGTAAAAGTTAGGATACTTGAATGATTGCTTGAAAAGTTATGGCACCAAAATGAGCGTTCTATGAAAATGATAACTCTATTAGTGTCATCCCCAAAATTTTCATGGCTCCATGACAAACATAGGTCTCATCTTTCTGTCGGTGTTGCACATAGAATAGGAGATCCGCTCATTGCGGAAAAAGATTATATACAATTTAATGTGCCTTAGAGCAAGTAATATTCTTGATTCTGCTTAATATTATCCCTTCTGTGGAACAGGTTTAGAAAATTGAAGGCTGAAGGTTCTCAGAACACGGACAATGCCGAACGAAAGCCGACCACCTTAAAGAGAGACTCATATCTTTTCAAGTTTAAAGAGGTAAAATATTTGATGCCACCCTCACTTAATAGAAGCTGGTAACAAAGTAGAAAGAATGAATGTGATGTTCAAACACTACATTTCAAAATGGAGTTATAGTGCCCCAGGCGACAGGCATATAGGTTATGGAAAGCAAACTCCAAGAGAAAACCCCCCCTCAAAGAGATTTTCGACTCCCACCAGAATATGAAAATATATGCTGTTCAGTTTCAGATAAGCAGGATTGAAGGCCATGAGAAAGCTTCTGCGGCAATAATTGTCCAATATCTTATTGCCATCTTTTGCACATTCTTGAGATTCATTACTAAAAAATAAAAATATATGAAGTGACATGCCCTTGCTGCAATTACATTGTCACCAGTTATGGACAAAATTCATTAATCAGTAGTTGCAACAGCTGAAGTAACATAAAAGATTGTGTATATATACTATTTTTACTAGATTATGCTCTTTCGTTTGCATACTCGATTTAAAGCTCGCTGTTTATGAGTTAGTGAATTCCTTTTGTGCAGGGTTTCACAAATGCAATAAAAAGGCAAGTTCAAATTTGAGATTTTTTGCTGTGACTACCCAAGATACTCCGAAACTCCACGGTGGTGCAGCTCTCATGGCACAGTGGGACAAGCGTCTACAAATCACTCTTCTCATGCACCTGTGAATCATAGCTTCAAACTTACATTACGAAGTGTAAAATATACCAACTCTTTGCGAAAAGGCTGAGATAGGTACATGCAGTGTAATATATAATACTAATGGATTAGTTCTGCTTGTCCAAGCTGAAGTCGTTGGCAAGGCTCTCACTTCTGTGATATAAATTCTGAAAATAGAGATCTCTATAGAATTCAAAGAGCCTAGAAATGCCATATTAGTTCAAAAGTAGTATGAGCTTTTTGAATGAGAGCTACTGGAGAAAACATATAGAGGCAAAGACTTGTTACTCCAAATGGCTATTGCAGGCTTGGACATGAAATAGCATTTGCAGCATGTGAATGAGTTTCGAGAACTGGTCCTAGAAAATTGGTCTGATCTTATTTTTAGGCAAGAATATTGCGATAACCCTATACCTTCTATCGCCAAGACTCGTACAAAGCAGGGACATAGGTTTTGTACACGCGCGAAACTGGTAAAATCCTCATTTCGGTTTTGGAACTAAAAAGAGAAGAAGCCTCAATAATTACACAGCTCTGCCAAATTTAATCTTGATAACTTGTTTTATTCAATCGATGAGCTAACTATTAAGTTTGCGATAGTAATCAACGGTAGAAAACTATCTCTGTCGCATCGAAATAATTCTTTGCCATTTTTGGTTTCATCTCCTGAATTTAATTTATTTTCCTTGCAAGGCAAAGAACTGTCCCTGGTTCCGTAAAAATCGATTACTCTTTCGAAATTGGCGTGTTAGACTGTTGGATTGTATCTTCTGATCCAAAAAGGAAAAAAAAAAAGGACTTGGATTCTCTATGCTCCTTGACCTTTGTCCTTTGGGTACGTGAGTCCATTAGGCTTTCCATCTTCTCTATTTTCATGCCCTCCATCCTTTTCCTTTTCCAAACATAATTCGTAAAACCGCGTAGCCATGCATCTCATCGAAATACACATTCTCGTCTCTTATGATCTCGTTCAACCTTCCATCTCCTTGTGATCGTACTCGAGAGCTTGAAATGCATCTACAGTCGCGCATCACGGGTTTTGCAATTTGCATAGTACCTAAATGAAAAGGGTTTGGCAACTATTGTCAAAGCAATTTCTTGAGAAATAATATCACATTTAAGTTGCTAATGTGAAGACCGTGAGGCAAAGACTCTGGACAAAGACATAGGAGGTAGACAGAACCTAGCGCCCCAATAACAAAAGCCTAGAGTCTAGATAGCTTTTACTGTTGCAAAATCTTTCTTAAGCCACTTGCACAGACCCTAGTGTGAGAAACGTAATAAAAGAGATAAAGATACTAAGGGCGTGAGATAATCATTATGTTTCACTATTTTTATATTTTTGAAAATAGATTTAGAACAAGAATCTGTTTAACAATATAATTTCATTTTTCTATTTCTGAGACAAATTTTTAGCCCAGAAATAGATATAAAAACAGAAATGAGAAGTAGAAAATTCTATTTTTTTTTATTTCTGGAATAGAAACAGAAATAACAATTCTTCTCAAAGCTCGCCCTCGCCACCTACGGCCGCCCGCCAGCCGATGTACAAATTCTACATCGATGCTATTAAACGAATTTCTATTCCGGGGACTAAAAATTTTGTGTCATTATCGAACTCTATTTTCTGTTGAGAAACTAATCCAGGGAATATAAATAGATTTCTATTTCTAATAAAAAATTGGGCACCCGGAAACATAATGGTTATTATTCGCGCTATAAATATCGTCCTTACCGCTTCTCATGCTCCACTTTTTAAAATATCACTGTGCATGTCATGACGAAATCCCGCAATCGAAAGCACCAAATCACTCTCCCTCCAAGCACTACGCAAATGGTAGCCGCCAACCCACCACCACGCACCACCGTTGGACGTGGCCCCGCAACCTCTGGACTCCACCAATGGTTATCAAGCTCCGTCATCACCCCCATCACCGCCCTTGACAACGCGTCCCTCTCCGGTCTCTGGTTTTTCGCTTTCTGTGCTATGCCTTTCTTTCTCTATAACTCTCTCCCTCTCTTTTTCTGCAGCCCAACGCCCACGTCGAGCTTGTTTGACTAGTGTGACGTGCAAATTGTTTTCCACAATGGAAAAATTAGGATGCAATGTTGTAATTTACAAAGAGAGGATGAAAAGTTTTAATAGTGGTTTTTGGTATTTTCCTAATAAAGAATGTGTAATACCATTTGCCAATCGGACGCAGAAGAACTATTAGGTTCAGCAAGTTTACTCCCTTTCTATCACAAAATTATTAATTCCAATGTGGGCGGATTTTGCATCACATATGAGAGGAAAAAAGTATACGACGTGTAGCATCGCACTATATTTGGTATGACGAAATGAAATAGAATGGAAAAAAAGAAGGAATGAAGTAAAATAGGTACTAGAATTCTTGGGTTTGTTTGTTGTGAAGGAGCGAAAAGGAGAGAATTTGATAATATCTTTTCCGGTGTTCGGAAAATTCCGAGTTAGGTCCTTTTTTGCTACGCTTAATCTAGTCTTTTCTTGATCTCGATGTAGAAAATACAAACAGACGGATTGGAAAGATAGGGTTTGTGGTCTTTGAAGGTGCCTTTTGAGATGGAACTTTTCACTTTGCCCATGTTCTCATTGGAAGACTATTTTCATGATCTCAGCGCGGAAGTTTTCTTGCCTGATGCTTTTGTTTTCGAATGAAATTGAAAAATAGAAAACAAAATAGTCACCCGAAGCGCATGTGTGCCCGCCCCCTCCTGCGTGGATGAGAAAGAAATGTTCTATTAACGGCTGTGATTGAGTCTTTGTTTTTCTTTTGATCGAAGGCTGTGATTTTGAGTCTATTCACTGCGAATCAGGTTCTTGAAAGTATTCGCTTCAAAAATGGCCGCGAGAAAAGAGCACCATGCGGAGTCCAGGTCGGTCATTGATAGTTGACTTGACAGTCAATGAGTCTTCCTTTGGTTGAAAACAACTACTTGTTGGGCCCAGTAAAGTGACTCGCTTTATAATACGGGAAAGCAAAAGGGTCAAATTCTTGGCAGACGTGGGTGGAAATGAGATTTGGATAAAATTCCAGTTTTAATCCCTGAACTAACCAAATTTCTAATCAAATACTTAAAATTTTAAATTATCTAAGCAAATTATTGAATTTGCATGAGTATTTTAATCAAAAGTTGCCACTGCTCCACATCTAATTAGTTGGAGTTGACGAATCCGTCGGCAAGATTTTTGACGTGGAATGTGGAATCCGCATAATTTTCAAGGTACTTTAATTTTTTGTCATGATATTTTATGTATATATAGTGCATTTCCAGTGTGATGACTATTGAATTCTGTTTCTATGGATAGTAGAATTTGATTTTAGAGGATGACTTCATAATTTGTTAATGGCTTTACTCGTGCTCATTTTTCTTCATTTCTTGGATGTTTTGTTTAGATTTATCGAGTACCTATAGGACTTGCTTAAGCATTTATGGTACTTAACTTAAATTTCTGTGATCTTTTTCAGTTTTTTTTTTTAATTACGTAACCTACTAACCGGCAATGGGGTCGAAACACCAAACACGGGTTGACTAATCTCACGATTGTCTGGTGTTACAAACTACACTAACGGGAAGGAGAACCTTGATCTGTGACAAGAATCCCACCTTTGGGGGATAGGAAATATCTATATGTATTGTGTAGGGGAACTATGCACACTTTGTATTCGTTTGTATGGTCCTACTCTTTATTTCTTCAAGACATAAATGTCAGTTAAAGATTAGTGGATCAGCTTTTTTTTTTTTGTGAATTATCACCCAAATTGGTCTATGGAGATCATTTTTGTCCACAAACATACTGGGATTATTAGGACCGACATATTGCGCCATTTGTATCTAAATTTGCATAGTGATATTCTACCTTGAAACACTAACATAATCATGTCTATAAATTCCTAGGCATTAATCAATTGACTGCACTAAAGCTTTATCCTAACTCCGCCATTGTCCAAATTGATCGGGTCAGGTGAGACCGTTACATAAGTGGGTATTATATGATTCTTCAATGTTAAAAAGGGAACCTTGTGAAAAAGGGTTTCTTTTTAAAAGTTAAAGAGAGTTCTTTTTCTTGCCTTTTTATCCCGATACTAGAACTTTGCCGTGACATATGGAGCGGGATGGCTCATGAGCTTGGCGTGCACGGCTGAGATTTGACTTACAAAGACCTCCTAAACAAATATATTCTCCATCGCAGGATGTAGATGTACATTACCACAAAACCTGTTTATTCTCCTGAAAATTCCTTTACTTCGACTTTCTTACATTCTTCAGGTATCAGTTAAGATTTCACCTCAAGTATTATGGAGCCTCTCAACTTGTCTTTTCTCGAGTTCTCGTCATCATGTCGTCTCTTTTTCACAAGTGTAGTACTTTTTCACATGTTCGGTACAATGCAATGGAATGGAAAGAAATTAATGAAATGATGTATGTATTACAATTCTTGTGTTTGTTTATTGTAAAGAAATGAGGAGAAAAAATTATGATGATTCCTTTCCATGCGTTTTGAAAATATTTAGAATGGATATGATGGTATCGAAATGTCTAAATTGTCTTAAAACATATAATGTGTAAGGAGAAAATAAAGAGTACACTTTGAAATACTTTTGTATAATTATTTTTTTTAGTATATTGTCAAGGAATAGTACGGCCATTCCACCGGTGGACCCTAGTTTGGTGGAAAGCTCATTCATAGACCGAGAATTCCATATCTTCTGAAAGAAACAAACATGCTTTAAGTTTTTTCTTGATCCCAATGTAGAAAATAGAAACAGTCAGATCAGAATGATAGGGTTCATGATTTTTGAAGGCGCCTTCATTAAAGTAAATAATTATCATTTAAAATCTATTTTTAAAATATCAACAGATTCTTTTATTTTTTAATGAAATTGAAAAATAAAAAACATAATAATCACTTGTTGCGCAAGAGTGACTGCCCTCTCCTAAGTGGATGAGAAAGAAATGTTCTATCAACGGCTATAACAGAACCAATTCATGGTGAATCAGGTCCACGAAAGTGCTCACTCAAAAAAAATGGCCTCGAGAAAAGAGTACCAAAAAAAATTCCCCCTGGTTGAAAACAACTGTAAAGTGACTAGCTTTATAATTAGGAAAAGCAAAAGGGTCAAATTCTTGGTGTACGTTAGTCAAATTTCTAATTAAATACTCGAACTTTTAAATTATTTGTTTGAATTATTGAATTTGCATGAGTTTTTTAATCAAAAGTTTCCATTTCTAATTAACGTATTCGTCTGAACCGGTTAGAATTTTGACGTGAAATATGGAATCGCGACTATTGAATTCTATGAAGGTACTTTCATTTCCTTTTATGACTACTTAATGTATACATCGCGACTATTGAATTCTATTTTGGTGAATAGTAGAATACTAGTTGATTTTAAAGCATGTCTTCATAGTTTACTAACGGCTTCTACTCATGTACTGATTTTTCTTCATTTCTTGGATGATTGGACACGCATGAAAATCATTCTGTTTCTGTATTTTCTATTTTTCTGTTCTCGGAAACATGTTTGGAACAGAAATCCATTTGGTAACGCAATTTCATTTTTCTATTTCTTGAACAAATTTCTACTCCAGAAATAGGTTTGGAACAAAAATCAGAAATAAAAAAGGCTAATTTTCTATTTCTAGAACATAAATGAGAAATAAAAACTCTTCTCATTGCTCGCTCCTCGCTATTAGCCGGCCACCCACCCGCCGCCCGCCGTTGCCATCACCCGCCTCTTGCCACGGTTAACCATTATTGGCTGCCTCCCACCGCCGTTCGCTGCCACCCACCGGTGGCCATCCGCCGCCGCCGCCTGTCTTCCTCCACCACTGCTCAACGCCATTCGCCTCCCACCATTGGCCACCGTCATCCACCGCCGTTGGCCACCACCCGCCGGCCACCTCCTACCATCCTCCATCGGCCACCGTTTGCAATCTTCTGCCGCCGCCGCCGCCTACCAGTCGACTCCCGCCACCGGCTGCCTCTCGTTGCCGCCCATCGTCCTCCGCCATTCGCCACCACCCAATGTCGACCACCTCCCGCTGCCGCCTTCTGCCACCGCTCGCTCGCCAACCACCTCCCGTCGGTCGCTGGGGATGAAGAAATTTTGTATCGTTATCAAACGAATTTCTATTTAAGAAATAGAAATTTTGTGTCATTATCAAATGCGTATTTGGCAAAAAAAAATCGTCCATGAAATAGAAATAAAAAAAATCTATTTCTGACCAAAAATTGATTTATAGAATAGAATGGTTATCATTCGCACTTTAAGTTCTGATTTATCAAGTACCTACAAGACTTGCTCAAGCATTTATGGTATTTGACTTAAATTTCCGTGTCTTTTTTCGCTTTTTTTAATCACATAATCTACAAACAGATAGTCGGTTCGAAACAACCAACACAAGTATTGACTGATCCCATAACTGTCTTGTGTTATAAACCACACTAAAACGAGGGAGAACTCTGATTCGTGACAAGAATCCCACTTCGGAGGGTAGGTCCCTGCAAAGTGATAGCCACCGACATTGGCGAGAGAAAATCTACACGCTATGTGTAGGGAAATGTATACGCTTTGGATTCATTTGTAAGGCCCTATTCTTGATTCCTTCGAGACATGAATGTCAGTTAAACATTAGCGGATCATCTTCTTTGCAATTCATCGCCTAAATTGGTCTAAGGAGATAATTTTTGTCCAAAAACGTAATAGGATTATTTGAAACTGACATATTGCGCCATTTGTATCAAAATTTGCCAATTGGTATTCTATGTTGAAATGGTTATATATTCCTGTCAATATAAGTTCTATTTAATCAATTGATCCCACTAAATTTTTATTGTAACTCCACCATTGCTCAAATGGATCGGGTTTGGTCATTACATAAGATGGTATTATAAGACTCTTCAAAGTTAAAAAGGAACCATTCACTTCGAGTTTTTTTCTTTTTGGCGTTTATATCACGTTAGTCCATAACGTAACCATTGTCAATTGATTGCATGAAGGCAACTCATTCGCTAGGGAACAAAACGAGTCATGTTACTACAAATTGCCGTGATATATGGGGCAGGATGGCTTATCAACTTAGTGGGCATGGCTAAGATTTGACTTCAAAGAGCTCCTACTCAAATATCTTCTCCATCGAAGCATCTCCATACAAATTGCAATAAAACCTGTTCATGCTCCTGAAAATTCCTTCTCAGCAACCTTCTTACTTGCTTCAGGTATCCATTAAAATTTCACCTCAAGTACTATGGAGCCTCACAAAGTGTCTTCCCTTCAGTTCTCATCATCATGTCGTCTCTTCTTCACATGTGCAGTGCTTTTGCCATGCATTAGCCTAGTCTCTTCAGCAAATAACAAAACAGACAAGCTCGCGTTACTTGCATTCAAGGCTGCTATAACTGAGGACCCTCTCGGGGCCCTAAATTCATGGAACCATACGACCGACCACTGTTGGTGGTACGGTGTCACGTGTGGTCGCCTGCACAGCAGAGTCACGGGACTAGATCTACGAGACCTGAAGCTTTCGGGATCCATCTCCCCTCACATTGGAAACTTGAGCTTCTTGAGAGTCCTGATGCTCAGCAACAATAGTTTCCATCACGAAATCCCGCAACAAGTCGCCCATTTGCACCGTTTACGTGTCTTGGGATTATCCAACAACACATTGGAAGGCGAAATCCCGAGAAACTTGTCATGTTGCGCTCGCCTTACATGGCTCCGCCTAGGAGGCAACCGGCTGGTCGGAGAAATTCCCTTTGAGCTCGGTTCTTTGCTGGAGCTTCAGATTCTCGCTTTACCTGTCAACTATCTAACGGGAACTGTTCCTTCATCCATTGGAAACATGTCATCGTTAGAGATTCCCAGTCTCAATGGAAATGAGGTAGGTGGGAAGATACCCCGAGTTCTAGGAAAGCTAACCAAACTTAAAATAATTGGTTTAGGACTAAATAGGTTGTCTGGCACGATTCCTCCATCTATCTTCAATCTTTCTTCTCTAACGGTGTTCGACATCGGTGGAAACCACATAGGAGGGAATCTTCCTGCCAATATAGGCTTCGCTCTTCCAAACATCGAGATTTTCACCATTTCCTCTAACCAATTTTCTGGAGCGATTCCTCGGTCAATGTCTAATGCAACCGCTTTAGTGTTGCTACAAGTCAGTTTGAACAAACTCTCGGGGAACATGCCTCCTTTGGACCGCTTAAACAAGCTCCAAATATTGCGCATCAATTATAATTATCTGGGAAGCGGAGGATACGGTGATTCGAGCTTCTTGTGCTCATTGACTAACTCCACCAGTCTATTCTTCTTGGATATACAAAGCAACAATTTTGGCGGGACGTTGCCCGAGTGCATCAGTAATTTCTCCGTTACTCTCTCAGAATTGTGGCTAACCAAGAATCAACTGTTTGGCACAATTCCTCGAGAACTCGGAAATCTCGTCAACTTGGAAAGGTTGTGTTTGGACCAAAACAAATTTTCAGGTATTGTCCCCTTGGTTTTGGGAAATCTTCATAACCTAGTGGAACTGGATTTATCGCATAACAAGTTTTCTGGAGCAATCCCTTCTTCATTAGGAAACCTAGTAAAGCTAGCACGACTCCATCTCGAACACAATAACTTTCACGGCCGCATTCCATCATGTCTATCGGAGTGCCGAAGTTTGGTGTAGCTTGATCTTTCTAGTAACAACTTAAATGGAACCATACCTCCGGAGTCCATAGGTCTCTCATCACTTTCTATACTTATGAACTTGTCTCGGAACCATCTCGTCGGTGTCCTACCTAAGGAAGTTGGGGAAATGAAGCTTTTGGCTCAATTGGATGTCTCTAGAAACATGTTAGAAGGCAACATTCCAGCCAGTCTTGGCAGTTGTGTTGGATTGGAAGTGCTCAAAATGGAGGAGAACTCTTTCCGAGGCTCCATTCCTTCATCTATTAGTATGTTGAGGAATGCCAAGGAGCTAGATCTTTCACACAACAATTTATCTGGTCAGATTCCGGAGTTTTTCGAGGCACTTCACTCCTTGGTGATCCTAAATTTGTCGTACAATAACTTTGAAGGCACGTTACCGACTAAAGGAATCTTCAATAATGTCAGCGCTACTTTTGTCTCTGGAAATGACAAGCTTTGCGGAGGAATGCCCGAATTTCATCTCCCGAAATGCAGCTCTAGAAACTCAGGCCAAAAACTAACCCCTGAGTGGAAGCTCGCCATCTCGATTTTCTTTGGGGTTCTTGGAATAGCTCTAGTTCTTGCTCTTATGTACTTTGGTTGGTTGAAGAAGAAGAAAAGAACAGAACCAGCTTCAAGTTCCAAAGATGATTCATCACTGAATCTATCTTACGGAATTCTTTTTAAAGCAACCAATGGGTTTTCTTCAAGTAACTTGATCGGGGTTGGCGGCTTTGGATCTGTTTACAAGGCAGTCCTCGATGAGAATGGAGCTGTCATTGCTGTGAAGGTACTTAATTTGACGCTTCATGGTGCTTTGAAGAGCTTCATAACCGAGTGCGAGGCTTTAAGGAATGTCCGACACCGTAATCTTTTGAAAGTCCTAACAGTATGTTCGGGCACTGATTACAGGGGCAATGAGTTTAAGGCCTTGGTTTATGAGTTCATGGTCAATGGCAGCCTAGAAGATTGGCTACATCCAAGTCCATCATCAGCTGACTTAGACGCGAATGCAAATAAATTGAGTCTCATCCAGCGGATAAATATTTCCAACGATGTTGCTTCAGCATTGGATTATCTCCATAACCACTTGCAAAGCCCTGTTATCCATTGTGATCTAAAGCCAAGCAACGTCCTGTTAGACGACGAAATGGTTGGACATGTTGGAGACTTTGGTTTGGCGAAGGTCGTGATTGAATCCACCGATGACACTAAAGCAAAAATGAGCTCTACTGGTGTAAGAGGAACTATTGGCTATGCTGCTCCAGGTGAGTCGCCTCTCCTCTGTCCCCTAAAGGAAAACGCACAAATTACATTCGCTAATAATGCAGTAAGTGTTTGCGCACTATTTCCTTTTACCTCAACCGCTTGTGCTGCTATTATTTATCTTTTATTTACAATTCGAATGAAGCGCAGAATACGGAATGGGAAGCGTGGTTTCAAGAGAAGGCAATATTTATAGTTGTGGCATTCTCTTGCTTGAGATGTTCACGGGCATAAGTCCAACAAACAAAATGTTCAGAGAAAATTTTAACCTTCACAGGTTCGTTGAGGAAGCCTTGCCTGAACAACTCCTAGAGATTACCGATCCTCTTCTACTTCAAGAACTGGAGAGCCACATGGGCACCGACCGAGGCAATGCAGCTCGCGATTGTCTGGAGATGGTCTATAGAATTGGGGTTGCCTGCTCAGTCGAGGCACGCAGAGAGCGGACGAACATTGCAAAAGTCGCAGCTCAGCTGCATTTTATCAGGGATAAACTTCATGCAGCTGGTTTACAATGATAGGTAATATATGAGATCAATGGCTTTTCTGCTTTTTATTTTCCCTTGGACGACCAGATCATTGCCATATATGCACCGATAAGCATGCATTCATGTGCCTCCTTGTGTGAATAAACTCAAAAATGCACACATGATTCATCAATTTTCTGGTTTTGTGTGAATCAAAACGGCATGAATTGCCAACTGAATCACATATATGCACATCACAGAAATAGAGAATTCATCCTATAGAATCATTGTTACAACTCTAAGGCCAGCACGAGGAAATTCTCGTGATCAAAGCAGTTGACAGGCTAATCATAAACCTCCATCCCTTAAATCTGTTTGGCATATGCATTTGCAGTTGCACCAAATTCGATGGATTGAGGACATTTATGTAGCTTTATTAAGAGTATGCTTAAAACTATCAGTTTTGCTGAAAAAATGAATCTACATCTCTCTTCCAGGTTATATGAACTCAGGAGTGCTTGGAGTCGGTTTCAGCAATTCCAGTAGAATCTTTTCTTCTCCCATGCTTAGCACTAGAAAAAAGGGGATGCTTGCTATGTTAGTGTAGTAGATTTAGGGAAGGCAACGGTTCTCCGATATCGGCCACGGCTCAAAATGAGAAATCAATCTCGTGTTTTATTCAATAAAACTCGGGTTTTGGCTCAATTGCTGCAAGAACTGCAAGTAGCTCTTTTAATTTGATGACGGCTCGATGCATTCCTTCTTTCGCAAACCTTTTCATGTGCGAGTCATCCGTGGGGCAGAGCAGGAATTTGAGAAGCAAATCAAATAATCCTATCTGGCTGTCGAAATTGCATCTCTCCTGCATGGACAGGATTTCGATACTGCAGCCACTGTGAACAATTTGTCCAAGCAGACCAACTACTTTGTTACATGTAATGCAAGTTCCAAACTGTTCTTGTGAACGCAGAATCAGAGCGAGCTCTTAAGTGAGCTGTGAAGTGCCTCTATTGAGATTGTTATAACTCTCTGGGCCGTTGGTGTGGCAATAATTAAAAGTTTTTAATTAAGTGCATTGTCTTTTCATTAGACATTTTTCAGTAAAAATTTCCTTTTGCCGTCTGAAAACAACTTATTTTCATGCAAAAGATAAAAATTTGAGAAAACTTAGTGGATTTTGTACATGTGTTTCATTCTATACGACCTCAAATTAATTATCGTTGATCCCATTATAATCTGTTATTCACACGGTTTACACAAAACATGTTCAGACCAAAAAAAAGTTAGATGTTGATAATTGGACATGGAAAAATATCAACTGAATTACCGGCCTTAAGGTAAAAAATCTGAACTCATTTCATAATATTTCAAGAGCCTACCAAAAACCTTGAATACATTGGCGTTCCAACTTCCAATCTAATAAAGACGTACATCAAGATTGGCATTCAAGTGCATCCTGAGAGACTAAAAGATAGGAGATTGAACAACAACTAAGGCGACCTGGGACCTTTTATGATGCAGGGGCAGCTTTCTGTTTCTTCGGCATGCGATAGCCACCGACAACGCAAGCATGGTCTCGCTCAAAGGGCTCGAGAGTAACTTGCTCAAAAGGCTTGAACTGCTCCGCCTGCAGCTTCTTCACTTCCTGGGAAAATACTATCTCGACAGGAACAGTAGAATCGATACAGTTTGCCTGCAAAAACAAGCATAACCAAAAGGAATTGATTACCCGTTTCTTCTCATTGAAGCAACATTTCCAGTCTACTTTCTTTTTTTCAAGAGGATTGGTTTTCACCTCCCTCAGATATGATGAGATCATTTCTGATGTCACAGCTTATCTCCTAGGCTTGCAAGAACTTGCACCAGCTACTTGTCTTACTTTTTAAGGAATTATAAAGTGATAAAGAAATTCAAGTGAGACCAACAGTCCTCTAATCCAACAAGCTACATCTCAAGAAAAATAATAAAGAAAAACCAAGTGCGCATCTGTCCACAGAGAGAGAGAGAGAGAGAGAGATACCTCAATTGAGATGACAAAGTGACCTCCAGCCTTGAGAAAATATGATGCATTTAGAGCCAAAATTCTTGCCTGAGATGTAACCACATATCATTGAACATCACATGTTAACAAGAGACATCTTCTAGTAAAGCACTCTAAACAGGTAGAAAGGTTATCCAAATAACAGACTAATGACCTTGCATTTCTCTCCCTCTGACGTAAGATGAGCACACTTCATTACCCAAAGCTTAAGTCTAGTGTAATGAGTGCTTCAACAAGTCATGCAAGTGTTTTAATAGTCTGTATTCAATTGATAAACACTAAAACAGTCAAATGCAGAGAGACTTCCACGAGTATTATCACAGCAACTTTTATCATATGTACATACCAAAAGACCTTTCAGGTGATCAGAGAGACATCACGTGCATCCAACACCCCACTTCATAATAAGTCAAGTCATTGCACGCACTAGATCAAAAATAATAATAAGAGACCGCGCAATCTGACAAGACATGCAAATTTATAATTGAGCATATGCTTGAGTAATTATTAGATTAAGATCCCCTAGCCCAAAGCCGTAAAGGCAACATAATGTACACGACCATGCCATAATCTGGAGGGCAGGTTAACCTTATTGACAAAGTTCGAAATGGTAACCTAACTCCGCAATTGATCAAAAGGACAATTAAATGAATAAGGACCTAACCAGACTAAAAAATTTGGGAAGCTGCACATTGTATTCGCTGATAGTAATACTATATTGTCATGCACACTACCTTAATGACAAACTTGATTTTCATAAATCCTTACGCTTCGTACAACAGAAACAATTTGAAAAGCTACAAACCCTGCATCAGAAACTCGAGAATGCATCACCCAAACTGTCTTGAAGGGGAATCCGAGTATTTCATCAAATGCTTTGTAATAATCAAGTACAGGGAATAGTCATGGAATTTGCCGGCCTGAAGGCATGTGAAAAACTTGTCTTTAACGAAAAGGAAAGGAAGAAAAGATTCAACTATATTCTCAACTCTCACAAAGTAAATCAAATTAGAACTAACGAAAACAAAAAGGTTTATGGAGTGAGCCAAGCAGTTATGCATCAGAAAACTCGAGCTTGCATCACCCATGCTGTCTTGAACGGCAATCCGAGTAAATTCTTTATGTGCATAAGTTTCCCTCTTGGTGAAAACAAAAAACACAGCACAGTTCTGGGGCAAAACGTTTACGCTTAACATAGCAATGAAGAAAACAGTAGTGACAGGAGTTTATATAGATATATATAAGAAAAGGTAAATCACCAAACAAGAAGTTAATCCCCAAATAACAAGTCATCCCGGCCATACAAAACAAAGCCTCACAGATACATGAGGGAGAAAAAATCCATGGCATGAATATGACTCCCACAAAGATGAAACTAATCATAAAAATGAAGGCTGCAAAGAAACATTGATTTGCGTTATCAGGAAAAAAAAAGGTCGACAATTCATGGAATCTGCTTCCAAACGATCAAAAGGTAATAAATCTGCATTTTCATAAAAGAAGAAAAATCCAAATAGAGCAACAAGTTGCTACGAGCATATAACAAAACCACGCAGTAAGTCAAACAGAAATGAAGGTAGGATGCATTACATAGGATTTCCTTTTCGGTGGTCCAGAGGCAAGATGAAGCCCTGGACCTACACTTTGGCAAGGAAGACCTTCATAAGAGAAATTATGCAATTTCTTTCATAGGAAAAGACAAGTCAATACCTGATCTGGCTGAGCAACATCTGAAAATATTACATCCACCATTCCAACCAACATACAGTACTTGGCTGGATGTCTAGCATCTTCGATAATAGGAATAACATTTGTTCTCTTCTTCACCATGTTGACTAAGTCCCTTCCACTGCGATGTGAAAACTCGACCGCACAAAACACTCCTGTCTGCCAAAAGGAACACATGACAATAAGTCAGTCGTCTGATGAAGTCATTTGGCAAAAGAATCGTTCTTCCAAAACAAACGACCTACAGGGCCAACAATGTTGGAAACATGAGATACTGTGGTCCCAGAAGCAGCTCCCAGATAGAGAACTCGAGCACCAGGTTTCTGAATTTGAAAAAAATGAAACATGATCAGTGATATGGAAGAAGCTACGCATCTATAATACACCAGAGAAAAAGGAAGAGAGATGCTCACAATCCATATCTCATCAACCCCACCAAGAATGGCAGCTGACAACTTTGATCGGAAGGGGTTCCACGCTCTATATTCCACTTTACTTCCATCTTCTTCATTCTAACAAGAGAATAAACACAAAGAAATACAGCTTAGTTACATTTCTAGGGAAATGAAAACAAAGAAGCTTTCAAATTTAACATGAGAATGATAGTCAAAGAATGTAAGGGAGGTCGACATTATTAAGCTCCTAAAACAGGAAGATCTAAACAGTAGAAAACTCTTTACCTATAGCCCTGGCAAAAGGAACCTCACACAAATCAAATAATCAACTCCAAGCCAGATGCTCCTTTGATAATCAAATTTGGGGTAGCATAAGTATCGATAGCAAAAAAATATTAGCATTCTTAGAACCATTAGTAAAAGTCTAAAAAACCAGTTGATTCTAGATAAGCAAGTTGTTCACCATTTTTTTTGAAATTATATTTTGAGATGAATTGGGAGCTTATCAGTTGTAGTATTTGAAAACCGATTAAATCAGTGCAAAATGCCTAGCAATCACTAGCAAGATGAATAAAAAAACATAATCACCTGCACAGAGATTCTCTTCTCATTGTAGACTGCCTCTCCAGGGACCATACTCTTTGTAACAAGAGCATCTTCTTTGCCCTTAGCAATGAACACCCCCTCATGTCTATGAGGCTCAACCGCAACTCTGCTTCCACCTTTCGTTCCACCTCTACCACCACCGCGTCCTCTTCCACCACGGCCACCGCCACCGCATCCGCCACCACGCCCTCTCATGGCACCACCTCTGTCGCCACCGCCTCTCCCTTTTCCTCTCCCTCCATCACCCCTTCCCCCCCTAAATCTGCCACCGCCGCCTCCACGACCTGCAAATGACCAAACAAGACCATTTGTCAAAAAATAAATAAGCACTCGAATACCCCGTTTACGGTCTCCAAGTAGAGTGAAAAATAGCACATTGAAAGGCAAAACAAAGCAGAGACGGCAGCACAAAATCAGTCACCAACAGCTGAGACACTATCTCATGGAACTGGCTCACACGAGTGTAAATCAACGCAAAATCTCAAAAAAGACAACCCCAGCTCATCCCCGGAGCAGAAGACAATAACCCCACGCTTTTCTTCCACTACCAAGAATCACAGAACGCAAGCAGTATCAGCATCCCACAAACTTCTACAGCAGCAAACCGCAACCAAAACTTAGTATCATCCTCGGTTGCTAAAAACAGCTCAAGAACTGACCCATGCCCGTGATTTTCAAGTGAGACCAGGACCAAAAGGGCAAGAAAAGAAAGGCATGCACCGAACACCCAAAGCTGAACTCCTCTTTCCCTCCATTTCCCACTCAGTCGCAACAAAAGGGACACGGCGAAGAGTTACCTCTCTGAGGCGGCCTCATCTTGGTGATGGCTTGCGAGAGGCTAAGGAGAGCTGCTGGTATCAGCTGAGAGGTAGATTGACTGAGGAAGAGAGTGAAGCTGCATGTTACCCCACGAGAGGTAAGGTGAAGGAGAGGGTAAAGAAGAGAGAGGGTTTTCCAAAATGGAGGTTTTATACAAAGACGGCGGGCTATTTCCACTCTGCATTATTAAATTCACCCATTTTTCAATTGCCTTCAATAATTCAATTACAAATTAAAGTGATTGTCCAAAATTTACATACTTTCCCCCTTTTCTAGTTTTTTTATATAATTTTTATGTAAAATCCAGTTGTTGTAATTAATACTAAAACACGTTTTGTTTTTTTTTTGTGGATATCTCATTTATATTAAACGCACCATCTTTCCTTTTTACTTTAGATTTTATTTATGCAAAAATCAACTTAATTGAAAAGAGAAATTATCAAGAAATCTAGTTTTGTTTTGCGTTATCGATCAATATTTATATATTAATTGTAAGGTAGAACCTCAAAAGATTAAAGCATAAAAAAATTTTGGACACAATTACATGTTTGTAAACTTTATTTTATTTTCCAAATGGAGGTTTTATACAAAGACGGCGGGATATTTCCACTCTGCATTATTAAATTCACCCATTTTTCAATTGTCTTCAATAATTCAATTACAAATTAAAGTGATTGTCCAAAATTTACATACTTTCCCCCTTTTCTAGTTTTTTTATATAATTTTTATGTAAAATCCAGTTGTTGTAATTAATACTAAAACACTTTTTGTTTTTTTTTTGTGGATATCTCATTTATATTAAACGCACCATCTTTCCTTTTTTACTTTAGATTTTATTTATGCAAAAATCAACTTAATTGAAAAGAGAAATTATCAAGAAACCTAGTTTTGTTTTGCGTTATCGATCAATATTTATATATTAATTGTAAGGTAGAACCTCAAAAGATTAAAGCATAAAAAAATTTTGGACATAATTACATGTTTGTAAACTTTTATTTTATTGTGCATATCACCATTAAAATATTTCCTATCAATTGTCTTTTATATATACATATAAGGATTAATATCACAAAAAACTCCAAACTAGTACACTTGCAACATATTTAACCCAAGCCAATTTTTAGGTCATCAAAAACCCAAAACTGGTACACCTATAACAAATTAACCTTAAACTAATTTTTGAGTCACCCAAAACCCAAATTAATACACATGTAATAATTTCATCCCAAACTGATATGGATTTTCACATGGACTTGTCATGTCAATTGAGTTATTGCCATGTGTTATCAAACTCAGCAACTTCACGGTAAAATTTGACAAAAACTAACGAAAGGTAAATATGTCACGAATATACCAGTTTGGGGTTTTTGGTGATTCAGAAATTAGTTTGAGGTAGATTTTTCACAAGTGTACTAGTTTGAGATTTTTGGAAATCCAAAAATTAATTTGGGGTAAATCTGTCACCGGTATAAAAATTTGGGTTTTTTCGTGGTATAAACCATATGTATAATGAGATGATTAGACCTCTTGAAAGATTTTCAAAATAAAATCACAATTACATTCGTCAATGTGGAATTTAGAACATGAAATTAAATTAAAGTAAAGTTTTGCACAAAAGAAGATATTTGTTAAGTGTCAATGACATTTCATTAATTTCGGTTTGATAAACATTAATATCATTCATGGAGTATTTACAAACAAGATACTTTAATGTGTATAACCTATTCACATCGAATTTTTTAGTGTACTTCTAGATACTCCTATAACGTCTCGCATGCTTAAAAATGTCTCACCAATAGTAAAGAAAAAACACAAATTCTTTGATATTATAAATAAAGAGACTTGAATTTTTTTTTTGTAATAATGAAATTAAATGAATAAAAAAAATTCACCGAGAAAGCGAGCTATTGAGATGGAAGAGACAAATAATAAATTACTTGTGATAAGAGACTAGTTTTTATTTTCTAAGTGGCAAAAAGTTTAAATTTGATGGGAAATCATGAAAAGAAAATAACTAGGTTAAAGACAACTATGCAAATATGAAAACCATTAAGATCGATTTTGTCTATTAGTAAAAAAGGAGTAGGTATAGTCATATAGGATGGAAATAGCCTAATGGAATTTTTATCCATCTTTATTACACTCTCTCCACATGGAATTCTAAAATTTGAATTTTATTATTGTTTTATGACCTTATTTTGTCTTGGACAGTAACCAAATATCGAATAGAATAAAATTTATTCAATCCTTACTTTTATCCTGATCACCAAATATAGTTGATCGATTATTTCGCTAACAAGAGTTTGTAGAGATATTTCGTGGTTCTAGGCAAAAAGTTACAAGTTTTTAATTACGTGTATTGTCTTTTCATTAAGAAATTTTTCAATTGCCGTTTGAAAACAATTTATTTGGATGCAAAAAATAAGAAAAATCTAAAAAAGTTTAATTGGTTGTGTATTTTCGTTCTACTCTATACAACCTCAAATTGATTATCGACGAGCCCGTTATACTTGGACCAGTAGGCCCAATAGACTATAGCCCTCTTCCAGTTCCTTATTTTGAAGCGATGGCGCCATAAAACTTCAAGCGCCAATGGAAGAGCTCAAAAACAGAACATTGAAATAGCCGAAGAATTATAGTCTCAAGCGCAAATGAGCTCCAAAGATTCTGCATTCCAAGTGTTCGGGCAGCGGTCGATCAAGTCGCCGGCCTTCTTTCTTTCTTCGAACCCGTAAGATTAGTCCATCATGTACCTACCTTTCTTGATCCTTCAAAATTGCTATGCTGTTGATGTTAATGTGTCTCTGGGTGTTCCTTTTTTTTGTGGGTTCTTTCTTGTTGGGTCGTGAGATCAGAGGCAAGGACGCCAAGGAGGATGCGCACTGAGACAAGAAAGTGGGCCCGACGCGAGTCTCTCTGTCCGAGTTTCTCGATCGGAAACTGCGAAGAACCTCTGCTTCGCCGGGCACGGTTCAGGTACTGTTTGTCTCCGAACTTGTGTTTGGCCGCCAAGAAAGTGAAGGAAAGTCTTGGAATCCTGTCGTTTTCTACTTGGCCGTCGGGTTTTGGGGAAGCCATATTGGGAGTGTTGAATCAATTGTCTAGGACTGTCGTTACCATCTCTGTGTGGACAGCGCAGATGTTCCCTTTGTTTCCCTGACATATAGTGATGAGAACCTGAAGTTCGTTTTGACTGTGTTGATTGTAGAAACCAATCACAGCCCAACCTTGCAATAATTTAGTCTCTCTTTTTAGTTCGTGTCTAATTGCAGGTAAAATGCGTGCATGCCTAGTCTGGGACCATTTCTTCTTTGCAAGA